GTTATCAATGATGACGTCAACCAAGTGGGTGGTACCCTGTCTCTTTCCCAAGATCTCGAGAGCAGATCTTGAGTCCGAGTAGACGACTACATCGAGCCCCGTGGCTAGTTGATGTCCATTTAAACAAAAGGAGGCGGAAGGAATAAGATTAAAGCCCTTGGAACGAATCTATAGGGATGCGGGACTTATAAAAGGGGACCGTTAGCGGGATGAGAGAGAACTCAGCAGGACAAAAAGTCGGGGACAGTTGAGGGGAGAACTGAGTCGGACAGGAAAGCAGACAATTCTCTCACTTAGAATTTTCTTTGACCTCTCCACACAACGGGACTGAGTTATTACCCATATTCCTGAGCTTCGTCGACGGCGAAGCCATCTCAGGACGAGGTTACACGTTAGTCTGGACAGGAGCCATACGTGTCCACTGTCTTTTACCTGGACGCTTTCCTTTGTTGTGTGTAGTGGTGACCGTGTTCACTCTCACACTGGCTGGTGCAGGTAATTTTTAATTGGTTATTTTTAACACGTTCGGGTTCCGCTGGGGCCACCCTAACACAAGGACACCCGATCGTCTAATACTGTGCATTGACACGGTGCACACGATCGACTTTCCTAGGAGTCGGGATGGTAAATTTACGTCCTAATATCTTCCCCACCCATCCCGGGGAAGCTTCGGACGCCCTTTAAGAGGGTTTCTACAGTGGGTTTCCACATCAGGTACTAACTAACTTACTTAAGAAAATCAGCAAAGTATCGAGCCAGAGCTCATAAAGTCTTCCCCAGCGCCCTGCCCCGCCAACCCAATCGGCCTCCAACCACTCCGCTAGTGCTCTTTATTCCAGTCAGGCATTCGGCCCCTGAGACAGCCACACTCACCCTTCCACTCGATTGACTATGCGACTGAGGCGGCATCAGAGATGGAACACCTGGCCGGCCGGGGTGCTGCTCGCAAAGCAACCGGGTCGGACTTTCTAGGGGCTGGGGTGGATATATTTTACGTCTCTAAGTCCCCCCTTCCCACCCCGGGGGGGGGGTCGCGTAGGTGTTTAACACACGCCCTCTAACAGGGTTTACATGGTTTTCTGTGTTGTGACTAACTCACACCATAGGTGGGAGAGAAATGAGGTTGCCTAGGAGCAGTTCCCTCATAGACTTAATCATATTTAGAATCATCGGTTAGGGTCTCCACACTCCCTCGCCTCATATCCATACGGCAACTGAAATCATGTCCCGACCTGTTTCTGCGTTATTTTACTGCACTTGGTAGGAACCATGCAGCCGTGCTCTTTCTAACGTAGTTTCCGTGCGTTACCTTTGCCTTTCAGCGTAGGTCTCCTACATGGTGATACTGTTCCCCGGGTAACTTTCGGGGGGGGGGGGGGGGGGGGGGGGTTCTGGCAAAAGTCTCTTTATCGACACTTTCGGGACGGACATGCCAAATAGAGCCCCGGGGGGAATCTCTGGTACTAAAATTTTCCCTCCCTCTAAATCAGGGGTCTCAAACTCGCGGCCCGCGGGCTATTTGGGGCCCGCAAGACGATATTTTTCGGCCCGTGACATGACAGCAAATTTAGTGTTAATGCGACCCGCGCGGTTTCCTCATTCTCGTATCTATAATGTGACCCCCCGCGACAGTTTCAGTCGAATCTCACCGAATAGTCTATCTGATTTTTATTAAGTTTGCACAGATTTTGACGTTGAATATAATGGTAAAAATCCGTTTTAATCGGACTTAAACTTATTAATTTGTAGCATTTTATGAGAAAAACATGGCCAAAGTGCGGTTTTGAGAAAACACGCTTCGAATATTATATAAACATATTTCAAAATTTGTAAAAGTCAGTAAGTGGGAAATGCACAACCATAATTATGTAAACCGTAGCATTCTGACACAGTATCGAAGAATCCCTATTAAAATTGCCGCTAATGTTTACGAGTGAGAGAAATCCCGAACCTGTCAGCTTGGTCACTTGCGCTGTCAGGTCTCTGGCAACAAGCAGCAGGAGGAAGAAAGTGAAGACTATTTCTTGCAGAGAACCCTTAAAGTTACCGTACTGTGGGCTCCCCCCCCCCCCAACCCCTGTACCGCCTAGGCCCAGGTCGCACCCAGGTCTGGACTCTCCACAATATCTATGACTATAATATCTAGTTACACATTTAATGTATGTTTATATAATATTTAGATGAGGGCAGTGACGTAGCTAGGGATTAGGGGGGGGGGGGGCTTGGCCTCTTTAGGGGCCCTGCTATTTGACATTCGCCATTATTTACTGTAAAAAAATTTCGGACACTTTTTTAGCGGGCCCCCTCATGTAGGGGCCCGGGGGACTTNACAAAAATAGACAAAAAATTTATTAAAGTAAAGAGAAAATAAAGAGAAAGTAACTAAGCTGATGTCCTGTCCGTTCGTACACCATACAAATACGCTACAGTAAATTAAAACTATATAAAAACATTACTAAAAAAATTTTGCCCCCCCCCCCTGGAAAGTTAATCGATTTTTTTGCCCCCCCCCCCAGAAAGTTTTCTGCGGGCGCCCATGCCCCTACCCCTCCCCTAGCTACCCCACTGGATGAGGGGGTCAAGCATAAACGAAACATTTGCAAAAATTCTGCAATTATGTCTTAAAATTTTGACAGGAATCTATTAATTAAAGCACACTGCATCCTAAAAATCTGTAAAATTAATAGCGTCCGTGATTTTTTTATCTAATGATTATCAAAAATTATATTAAAACTTTACCACAATGTTCGTAACTATCACGTCTGATTATTATTTCGTGTTTTCACAAATAACTCGCTAGAGATATCTACATATATATTTAGTCTATACCCAGTGACAACACACTGCGGTCCACACGAGACATTGCGGCGGGCGGACTTTGCGCTTTTGTCAAGTAAAACCTGGAGATTACGAACCTTGAGACACCCTAGTTCAGTGGTCGGCAAATTGCGGCTCTTTAACGAACTGAGTGCGGCTCGGCCAGTCGGCCACAAATCGGGTTTGACTCCAAAAAAAAAAAAACGTTGTCATTGGCACGTTCTTGAAAAGAAATTTGGCTCTCATAAAATGTTTCACCATTCTGCTGCTGATTTTTTGCTCTTTTGACTAAAATGACTCATGAGTCTTCCGACCACTGCCCTAGTCGGAAGAATATGTAGACTAAATAGACTGTATTTAGACACATTTGTCTTTCCGCTCCAGTATCTTATTATCCATGTATGTGTAGTAATGGATAACATAGAAGCATGCCTTGCGACTTAAAATTCCTTCTTTTCATTTGAAATCGCTGAAAATGCCAGCCATCCCTAAAAAGATTTTTTTTTTTTTTTTAAAAGTGTCGCGTTCCTACTCCACTGACTCCACACTAGACCCAGGGGGCACCCAGGGGGCGTCCATTAATTACGTCAACGATTTTGAAGCAATCTTTTTATCCCCCCCCCCTTTTTTTTTTTCCGCCAACAACTGTCAAACTTTCAATGA